AGTAACCATTGCATTATTTTTTCTGGCGTATGTCACATAAATTTCGAATTTTATAGATAATTTTCTGAGATTATTCTTATGAAATGGATGTTCCTAAGCTTTCATCGAAATACAGGGCATTTGAACAATAATGAATTCCACTCCCCTGAAAGTGTACGAGGAAAAAGTTTTATTATTCAACAAGTATGGCGTGACAGAATGTTCTGTGAAAAACTACCCCCAAAAAATTATCTCATTTTTTATGTTGATCTTCAGGATCAGTTACACCTTCATCTAGTAAAGGCGAGATCAGGTTACCAATTAGAATTTAGAAAACTACTCAAAAGACGTTAGTGGTCATTGTAAAAGTTATTTATCTGAAAATGATAGCAGCGTTGGTATAAATCGCTCGATTCACTTGGAATGTGTCTCTTTCTATACCTACAACAAATAACCGACCAACTGAAAGATGACATAAAATGCACAAAACCTGTCAATTCATGAGTTTTTTTTTAATTTCAGTGATACATTTCAAGAAAATTTCTCTTCTATTATTTCAAATGATTGATGTGGTTCTTAGAAATCTCAAACAGTTCATTTTTTAAGTAATAATGTTACCATTTGTAGTAGTTGTTGTCTAAAGATGTCAGCAACACAAACCGGTTAGGTTAACCAAAATTATTTATTAAACGGAACATACTCTTAGGCTTCCTTATTGTCATTTCAAAAATTTTTTGTGGTTATGTTTAGAATGTAATTTTTTGTTGTTTGGATTTTGAAATATTGTTCAATTAATTTCCAACTTTTAATGACGACGCTGTAGTTTTGGGCTTTGCTGTGATTCTGTAATTACTTACATCTTAGCATAATGGCTTTCTCTTTCGGTAGTACTCCAGCGAAAAGTGAGTATTCTGTTTATCAGTAATTGTACAATTATGGAAAATTGAAATATTCAACAATAGTTTGTAATAATTTCTTCGATACATTTTCTACCGGTAATTATATATTGATTGCCTATATATTTGAGTAATGTTGTGAATAAATACTATACGGAATTTGAATCTGTTCAGTTTTAAAAATATATATCTCCTGATATCACAGTACTCCTATAAAATCGTGGTGACTCTCGCATGGCTTTACTTTATTTATTCATCCAAAAATCATATACTTAAATATTGACAAAAACTTCTGCTAGTGGACTGAATAACCTTTAACTCTGATATTAGTATTCATTTGATACTCTTGACTTCTTCAATTAATGAAAAGTAAGAGAAATTGTTACTCCTGTTATTAGGGTTGAAAATCAAGGTCATATAGTTTTACTAACCCACTGTTTTTGCAGTCCTCAACTTATTTCAGTCTTCTTGGTTTCCATAATCCAGAAAACTGAGTTTCATTAACTCATTTATTTTCACTTTTTCGTGAAGTATCAACATATCATTAACTCATTAATTTTCACTTTTCCCTGAAGTATCAACATATCATTTCTGGTTCTATCAAATCTGTTGAGAAGTGTTAGGCACCCCAATAGACAAAGTGATGGAAATCAAGGAGTCTGAGGCAAGTTGTGAGTAATGTCACAAAAAGTGTATTCATAAAATTAAACCAGGCCATATATCAGAGGTTCGAACTTTCTTTGTATAAAAATGTTGAACTTCATATAACTAAATAATTACCTTTAGCTCAAATGAAATGCTATCAGATCTAATCCTTCTCAAGTACAGTTATGCTTTAATTTAGGATTACTTATATACATACAATATGACATGTGTTCTCATAAGATTTGTTCAGGACTTTTTACACTGACTTCGGTGGATAAAGATGTTATTTTCACAATCTGGTGAATCGTTGCCTAAATGATCTATGCTGTGATATATCAATGACTATTTGTTACTATATCAGAATGGTTTGAAAATGAATATTATTTTTCATTCACTTGTATGAAAATAAAGTACAAATATGAAAGGAAATTGAAAAACATAACACATAACATAATAAATCATTGGGAACTCTAAAAAAAATATATAACACACAACAAATTTATACCAAGGGAAAGAAATGAATTATACAGATGAGGTATGTTGATAAAAATCAATAAAATGTTGAAAATAATAATTAAAAGGCAGGGCAGTCCATATTCTCTGATTCAGTGAAAGAATTGTTGTATATGTAAGCATCTTCTTTGAACTTCTACTCACCCCAGTGTTCATTGCTGTAGGTGATTTTTACCTTGGTCGACTTGCGATGATGGTTCAGGAGTGCTCTGCTACTGTTGTGAATTGTCTTACATATTTTTATTCAAATAATATTGAATCATTCAGTATAATTAATAATTGTGATATGTCAAATTGATGATTTTGTAACGCTAAGGTTGTGATAATGAACCAGAACGTTTCAGTTGATGATAGTATTACTTTGAAGCTATTCCAACTCCATATTGGACGTTTTCAATCACTGTTTTCGAAGACAAATATTTTGGCGATTGTGACAGAACAAAGTTTTTGCTGATTATGGAGAAGATGAAAACATGTTCTAGGCTCGTTCAGAGAGTCCTTTACTTGAATGTATGATACTGTGAGAAGGTTGCTGAAGGATGGGAGTCAAAATATTATTGAATTTCAAGAAAAAGTACAGCTATTAGAATTTTTTAAACAGTTAGTGGTCTCGACAAGCAGTTATTCGATCTACTGTTGAAAGAAAACCCTGATTGTTTATGTAAGGAGATTGAATTGACTGATGAATACATGACCAAATATCACAAATTGAAGTGTAATTTATTGAAACACTTTCGATGAAACTGACTAGTATAACATCCAATTGTTCTCACTCCAAACTCAAGTTGAAGCTAAAATCCATCGAATTCAAGGAATTTAAAGGTGAGGTAAACGACTGGTTTCCATTTTGGAGCCAACTTCGTATACACGAGGATATAGATTTTGCAAATGAAGACAATTTTCAATATTTTCTTCAAGTAACCATTCCTGAGACTCGTGCTCGTCAGTAAGTTGAGAGTTACCCACCCAGTGGACATAACTATTCCAAAGTAACGTATTCAAAAAACACACTTTATTATGAGATTTCTACTTGGAAGTTTACAAAACATGTGACACGTGTTTCCCTATGCAATGGCATCTTTGGGTAATAGAAAGCCTTGAAGGCAGAGACAAAAATCTCTGTTTTAAAATCTGTTTTTCCGTTAATCAGCTGTCGCCCCCATACGAACAACAACTCTCAGAAGTTGAAAAACTTGTGCGAGCTAAGGACTAACGAGATCTTACCTTTTAACGTGTGATTCCTAACACGGATGAAAATATCTCTTAGAGGAGGTGTATTTACGAGAACTGCTAAAATTTGGTCATTAATGACATTAAGAATAAAACCAAACTCACTTTCTTATATGATAAGTTAGAATCACAGTTGAGATCGTTGGAAACTTTCAATGCTAAATCAGATATGTGTGCAGCCATGTTGCATCCTCTTGTGGAATCCTGCCTTCCTTCCTGAAGACTCATCAGAATTTTGCAAAGAAGTTCAAAATGGGGAGCGAGTATCATTGGCAGTCTCTGGTTTTGATATGAATGTAAAAACCAAAAAACACCTTGACTCACTCTACTTCAAAATCAAAGATTCCTACTTCTTCAGGAATAATAAACAATATAGACCAAAAAATGTAAATTTTGTAATGAAAGACATGAAACTGAAATTGAGTTACTCTTCTGAAAATTTCTGACTCAATGTGGGGGGTGTGTTGTGAATTGTCTTATATATTTTCATTAAAATAATATTGGATCGTTCAAATTGATAATGTTGATATGTCAAATTGGTATTTTGTAACGTCAAGCTTTTGATAATGGACCAGAACGTTTTAGTTGATCCTAGTCTAACTTTGAAGCTATTCCAACTCCATATAGGACCTTTTCAATCACTGAATAGGTTTTTTTTTTTGAAGAAGAACAGCTACCTTCAATCTCTTATTTTCTCCTTGTTGGAAATTCTTCTTGTACTCTCCATACGTTCAATGACCTCTTTTATCGAAGTAAGATTCACTATTATCTCAAGGTTTCAGGTTCTGAAACAGGTTCTGGTATTGGTTCGACTTTAATTTTTCTGATTCTCTCTGATAATCCTTTTGCATATGTACTGGCTACTCCACCTTGTTCATCCTCTGCAATCTTCCAGCCAGTGTTCATTCTACTTATAATTTTTTTTCTAATTCTTGAGTGTGTGCCAGAAATTCACATAAATATATATCGAAACAAAAATTACATTGAATCTGGAATGGTGAACTTTACAATCAAGAATAAAAAAATTGACTTTGGACAAATATAACAGAATTACATTCAATAACCGAAAAGTCTAAGGTAATATCTATATTAAGTTATAATCTGATATTTAACGTATCAGTTTCTGAAACAGTTTTGACACTAGAATCACTGTAATCTTTCAAACGAGTGCTATAATAACACCCTGGAGATTTTGAGTTTTTCCTACATTTTCTACAAAGAATATATCCACCTATGATAAAAATTATCGAAACTATTAGAATGACTCCTACAATTATGTATAGAGTTAAATCTGATTCTCCACCAGTTTGGGTTTCCTTATCTGTTGCATAGAAGGTCTCTTCAGTTAGGAAGCTGTTATTACTAGTAGAAAATATATCTTCAATTGTTGTTTTGATAGTGCTCATATGGTACGGACTTCCTGATTCCATTTTCTCTGTAAACTTACTACTTTCCAATACATCCGTACTGAAGTTGGTATTGATAGTAGACTCGGTACTGAAAATAGAAGTACTGTTTGAGGTAACCGCATTATTGAAATTAATAAAAGTTGTTCTTGTTGAATTAGAGGTTGAAATCAGTGAAGCTTCTGTAGACATTTCAGTTGTGAAAATATCCAAAGTACTATTCAATTTTAGTTGAAGTGGTTTTTCTGTCGATGCATTTCCACTAAACATATTGAAGAAATCCACAGTACTGCTAGGTGTGTACATTTGTGTGGATTTTTCGAATATTGTTTTGTTGGTGCTGATGGTTGAATTTAAATTAATATTAATGTCATTTGTAGAAACAGATGTTAATTCTGGTACTGACATATTAATAGTACTGTTCAAACTTGTACTTTGATTCACTGTTGTGAAATTATTGAAAATATCTGCTATAATATTGCTGTTGGTACTTGTAATTGAATTTATTGAATCCTTTCCTGTTGCTATGGTTTCTTCAAAAATTTGTTGTTTCATTGGAGTTGATCTATATAATAAATCTGCTATGGTACTATCAGAGCTGTTTGCCTGTGTGCTCAAATCAAATTCTATTGAAGACTGTTTTGTTGAAGCGTTAGTCAAATTGTCTGTTAACAAAATATCTTTAAGGTTTCCCATGTTTGTATTTAGAATAGTTTCCTCTGTTGAAGTTGATATATTGAATACATCTGCTGGTATGTCTACCGTACTGTTTTTTCCAACATCAAATGGAGGATTTTTCGTTGGTAAATCCACGGACAGAACATTTTTCATTCTATCTGCCATCAGTTCAGCAGTACTGTTTGTCCTTGTTTTCAAATTTAACTCTATTGAAGGGTCTTTTGTTGTTGACAACATATTTTTAAGTGTATGAAATATATTTGGAGGATGGTAATATGTTGTTTCAGTTGACTCATTAAATATATCTGTCATCAAGTCAGTAGAATCATTGGTACCTGTGCTCCAACCAAAACTGACTGCAGGCTCATCAGTCTCTGAAGTTGATGAAAAAATACCTTTAATTTTTTCGGAGCTGGTTTCACTGAGTTCCATTGAAGCATTTTCAGTAAGTGTTGTTGACACTATATCACGTAGAAAAGGCTCATCGGTCTGTGAAGTTGCAGTGAAAATATTTTTAATTTTTTCTAATTTATTTTGACTGAGTTCAGCCGAAGGCCTTTCTGTTAGAGTCGTCGAGAGCATATCTTTCATTTCTTCAACAACTGTTGGCTCGGTGCTATATGATTCTTGGAACATATCTGTTAATATTTCTATAGTACTATTGGATTTGATATTATCTAATTTCATTGAAGATCTATCTGTTGATGATAAGATATCTGTTAATTGTTCAAAATCATTTATAGCTGTAGTTGGCTCACTAAACACATCTGAACTCATATCAATAGAACCACTTGTTTTTATAGAATCGTGAGCCATCTGAGTTGTTGACAACATATCTTCAATTTTCTCCATATCACTTTGACTAAAGTCAGTTATATTCTTGGATTCTGTAGTTGATGAAACCAAACCTTTAATTTTTTCAAAAGCACTTGCATTTTCACTAACTGTAATGTTTTCCTCTTTCAAAATATTTTTCACTGACAAAGTTTCTAGTAATGGTTTTTCTGTTGGAGTACTGAATTCAGTAAGGGAACTTTCAGTTTTGACATCATCTAGTAGTGGTTTTTCTCTTGCTATGGCTTTCATAAACATATGTCGTAATGTCTCAATGGTATTACTCGTCATTGACATTGTTTCTTCATTTGTTCCACTTTCTAATAAGCCTCTTTCTTTCGACATAGTTTCAGTGAAAACATTTTTCATTGTATCGATAGTATTACTTGAATTAGTATTCATGTTTATTCTAAATTCAGAAGTAGTGATCAGAGGACTTTCTGAATAAACTTTTATTGGTGCTTCAGTTGAGGTTGAGTTTCCAGTATCCAAAGGATTTTTTTCTAGGGATACAACGTTAGATATCATTTTAGTGATTTCGTTGATAGATTTTGTTACACTTGTTAATTCTTCAGACTTAGAAGGTTGTAAAAAAGGTGTTTGTGTCAATAGTGATGACTCAACTATATTCTCACCGGAACTTCTTGAATGAGTATCTATATCATCGCCAATTGCATTTTCCTTCAATATGTTTTCTGTAGTGATCTCTTTGGTGGCTCTTGCAAGAAAATCACGTGTGGCCGTAAATATATTCGTTGATAATTGACCTTTGGTAGAAATTGAATCGCTCATCATATCACCAGCTGACAATTCAGGATCATCCTCCAGACTTTTTTTGTGGGAAGGCCATTTGAAGTGAGGAAACTGAAATGGAAAAAAAAATGTCTTCTCAATTTCTCTTTAACCATTTATGAGATGATAACCATATACAGGGTGACAATTTGGAAATTTACAATGGCTATATCTGAGCAAGCAAATAAAATATAAGAAATCACTGAAAGCAACTTCCATAATAGGGAGGGGGAACCAAAATGATGTGATAGCTAACTTGTTTTCACCTACCCCAAGCCACTCTAACTTTATATTCCTAAATGGCAACACTATACTTGTGATACCTTATCTAAAACCTCTTAAGAAATGCTCATCAATGGCATTCTACAAAGCTACATTCGATGTAGTGAGTTTTGGTTCATTAAATAAAACACTATTTATTATGTTCTATTATTATTTTAAAAATGTTTAAAAACATTCTTATTACCATCGTAGCATTAATATTGAGAATCTTTAACATTTTACACCTGTACTATTTTTGTTTATTTGTACCTGAGAAAATGTACCTAGTTGATAAGTAATAGTAACAAAAAAGGAGTGTTTGAAATATTCATTTTTGAGAGGTATTTTTGTATTGCATTTTTTACTATAAGACGGGAAACGATGCTCTTATTATTAATACATTTGATTTTTATTTCGATACGTTGTACACGAGAAACAGAATGTTTATCTGCAACAGTGGCCTATAAATACAGCTAAACGTGTAGAAATGATTTTTATTTATTTATGGTAGAGAAGATCAGTGTTTGTTAAGAACAACTGTAGTATTTAACCAGAAGCACCGGAGAGAAATGTAAGTCATGTGTACATTCGCCAACTAGTAGCAAAATTTCAAGAAGCTGATACTGTTACAAATTAAAAAATGGATTAACCAAGATTACTGAACGAAGCAAAGCAAATTGAAGGACTCGGACAGTTTTCAATGAATCATATTTTATCGATTCGTCAGACAGCTACAGCAACTATAGATTATCTCGCGAATCTGTAAGGAAAGTACTTGAATTACATAAATTTCATCCATATAAAATGCAAATCCTTCAATAATTTTGTGACTAGAATTATCGCAGAACCTCGGCTCCACAAAAATATTTGCTTTAGTGACGAGTGCACTTTTTATTTAAATGGGCACGCAAATAAACAAAACTGTCTGTCGTTACTGGAGCTCACATGCTAGAAAGATCTATTGAACCTCGGATAGTTCATGAATTATAGAATCAGAGTAACCTACACGGCAACTTATCTTTTGAAATAAAATGTATTACATATTCAACAGGAGATAATAATTATGCTAATCAATGGATTTTTCTTCTTTTGGGGCCACCTAAAATATGTTGTTTTTAAGTCACAACCTGACTCGATAGAACAACTGAAAGAAATAATAATCCAAGAATGCCGAGCTATTTCCAGAGAAACATTTGCCAATGTACGTCAAGAGTTTCAAATGAATATTATTTTCTTTAAATATTACTGAAGTGTTTTCCCAACACCAACACCTCGACACGTGTTTCGATCACCAAGAGATCATCTTCAAGAACAAGATCAGTTTGATATTCCTCTTGAAGATGTTCAATTGGTGATCGAAACAGGTATCGAGGTATTGAAATAACGGTTTGGTGTTGGGAAAAAACTCCAGTAATTTTCATTACTACACCAAAAGTTCCAAAAAGAGCATCACAAGTACATTGTTCTCTTTAATAAACCAAAAACTACTATATCGAATGGTAGCTTTGTAGGGCAGCATTTGCGTTATCACAACTTTCATATGACTCATGAGGGTAAAGCAAACAGTGGGCAGCATAAATGCAGCAGAAAAAAAGACAATTGAAGAGAACCGTAGGACTACCACACAAACTTTATGACAGTCATTAGTCACGAAAGACAATTTAAAAATACAGAAATAAACGTCACTCACTAATTTGAACTTTCTACCTGTTTTGCCACATTTCAAACTGAATACCATTCACATACCATAGACTAGGTAATTACGTTATTGTAAAATCAGTTTTGCAAGTTGGAGGTTGTGCGTTTATTAAATTATTTTCAATAATCGTGTTTACACTTCAACAAAGAAGAACGGCAACAATGTTCAATGGAAGACATCCCAACAGTAATATAAATCATAAAAATGTCCTGGAATTAATTGCTTAGTTCAGTGAAACTGTTTCCCGTGATAACAAAAAAAGAGCTAATCGCCGTGGTTTGGAAGAAGAAGCGCTTCGCATTGTGTTACGCCAAGTTGAAATGTCTCACGAAACTGTAAGGAAAGCACCAGCATTTTACCAGTATAAAATAAAAATTTATGAGGACAATTTCAACAAAAGAATTCAATATTTTTTCTTAACGGGCATGTTAATAAACAAAATTGTCGCTACTGGAGCGATGAAAATTCGCGACTTTTTAGGGAAGGTCATACACAGTTTCGAGAGAAAGTTAGTGTTTGGGGTGGTAATCTCGAGAATACTATTATTGGCTCTCCATTCATTGAGGAAAATCTAACTAGTGAGCTGTACTAAAGTCTGCTAAGAAATAATTGACCCCTTAATAAAAACTAGTTTTGAAAATCAAATTATTGCATCTTACACTTTCAACAAGATGGAGCTCCACCACCACCGTCGACAAAACGCAAGATCTGGCGAAAACATCGCCGCTGTCTGCGAGAGTGTTAAGAAGAATCCGAGGCAGTTGATTTCGCGTCGCTCCCAAGAACTCGGCTTTTTACAGACCACAACTTGACGAATTTTGCGTCGTGACTTGGGCCTGCGCTCGCACAAAATTCAACTGACCCAGGAACTGAAGATAAAACGACCATATACAACGACTTGTGTTCGCTGAACGGGCTCTGGAGCAGTTGGCAACTGTTCCTAATTTTCATCGAAAAATCATCTTCAGCGATGTGGTCCATTTCTGGATATATGGGTACGTGAACAAACAAAATTGTCGAATTTGGAACGATACCAATCCACATGAGATCCAACATCGTCCAATGTATCCCGGAAAAGTCACTGTTTGGTGTGGACTTTGAGCTGGCAGCGTCATCGCCGTAGCTACAAAATGGCGGGTTACATATTTTTTTACAACTACCTCAATATGGGTATCAGATGGCAGGGCGTGACTAGCAGAATAGTAGTACACTTTGAAAAATGAATTCAAGATGGCCGCATCTACAAAATGGCGGATTACATATTTTTTCACAGCTACCCCAATATGGATATCAAATGACAGGGTAGTACATTACTAGTACAAAGTAGTAGTACAAAAAGATGCAAATCTATACAATGAACTTTGTCAACTTAGAATCGGGATACAAGCATGGATCTCCCACCCAAGTCAAAATTTCGTATCGTGTCGAAGACTGTGTGGCGTTAGTCATCACACCACTCTCCTCAGCAGGGCTGCTGAGGAGCACCACTCTCATCAGCACTGCTCCTCAGCACTGCTGAGGAGAGTGGCGTGATGACTAACCTCAGCACTGCTGAGGAGCACCACTCTCCTTAGCACTGCTGAGGCCCTCAATCTACGGTATTGATCAGATAAAATAATAAAATCTTTAGGTGTAGCGTAACCTGATTAAATATGTAAATATTACGCCCAAGTATTTTATTATTTTTTTATCTGATTATAATAGCGTATATTGCTGAGGAGAGTGGTGTAATGACTGCCACCTAGTGGAGTTATCGTCAATAAGAGAGTGTGTGTTCGGCGAGCCTTGGCCTAGATACACCTGCCGATATAAAGGAGATGTCTCCCAGCGACCTGTCCACCTTCCTGGAAAGGACAGGATGGACGATGACCTAGGAAGACAACTCCTCGGGAGGATGTACAATGGGTCACATGTGGCCTAAGTGCGTGGGCTTACACTCACCCTCCCTACTCTACAGATACAGATACACTTTAATTTTATAATATTAGTTGAAACTTGAGCGTTAAATAATATTGTTACTGAATTATTCATGACTGAACAATGAAAAATGAGTACATTTTTTCAAGTTATTTGAAAAAATAATCAATCGCTACCTATCTTTTTCTCAGATTTTGTTATTGGTATATAATTTTCTAATGAAATCCATTGACAAACTTGTAACTGCCTCTATAATTCTTTCAAATAAATTATCCTTTTAAACAGTGTTCGTTTCAAAATAAGAAATACAGGATAGTTGAATCTGGTGACTGGGGTGGACATAGATGTTATTTTTTGACAATAATTCTTAACATTATTCACATGTAAATATTTTAAATGCCTACTGCTTGAGCTAGCTGTCGTACCCCATAGAAACCACAACCCTTTAAGTAGAATCTTGTACGAGCCAAAGAATCACGAGGACTAAATTTCACATAGTGAGTGAGTTCTTTCGGAGACCCGAAGACATCTGCATCTCTTTGACAATGCATTAAGTTGCATATCACTGAATAATTATTATATAGAAGTGAGGTATATTTCCCTAGATAGCGCTTTATATCATCAATATGAAATTTCCTAAATATACTGTCATTACATAACTATTTCTTCATGATAATGATACACCTCAGAAGCCTTCAAGTTGTGTCACCAATAATTTCGAATAATCTATTTGCTGAAGAAGTTTGTTAGCCCCAATCTGTAACTTTCTTCGTTCCTAGTGTAACGAATTAAAGAATTTGCTGTCTTAAACAAATTTATTTCTAACAATATTTCACTATCGCAAAATAATTTATTTACAACACTTTGCACTTAATTTATTTTCACTATTTGAATTCTTTATTTAACCGCTCGATTCACTTTCTAAATTCGACTGCCATCTCTGGACGGGAAGCAGGCCTTATATATCGGTAACGATCGTTCTAGATTTCTCTAGTGGTTTCTGTACTCGCCTAGTATTTTCTCGGCGAGTCAGACTGCATTCTTTCGTGGTGATGTCATGTGTTCATTCGCTGGCTGATATATCGGTCAGGGACGGCTTCAGATTCCTTACAATAGCAAATAATTTCAAGTTTGCCCATTTTTGCATCAAGTAATGAATTTTCGACTAATGAAAATATATAGTATATTTAATTTTATAGGACTTGATAATCTGTTACATTTTCGCAGAGCAGAACAAAATTACCGACTCTTGACGCGTGTTTCGCTTACCAACCAACCATCAGGAAATGACTGAAACTGAATCTTACAGCTACTCTGTTCATAAATAAAGCGAATTTTTATTTTTCTCGAAAAATATTTATTTATTCATCAATTTATATTTTGTCCCTTTTAAAGTAGTCCCCCTTGTGCCAGCGATTTCTCCAATCCTCGAAGCAGTTCTGATATGTACTTTCTGGTATGTCTTTGAGCTCTATCATCGATTCTGTTTTTATCTCGTCAATCGTTCCAAAACGTCGTCCTTTCATAAGTCTCTTCAATCTTGGGAACAGAAAAAGTCTCGGGGGAGCAAATCTGATGAATACGGTGACTGAGGCATGGTTACGGTGTTGTTTTGCATTATCGTGATGCAAACGCCATGCATTGTTTTTCGACAACACCGGATTTTTTTCGTATTGCTTCTCGCAAGCGGCGCATAACTTCAAGATTTATTGACCATACGACTATGTGGCAAGAATTCCAGATGCACTACGCCACGATATTAAAATATGTTTTTCCGTTAACTAGCTGTCGCACCTCTACGAACGACAACCCTCAGAAGTCGAAACTAGTGCGAGCTAAGGACTAACGAGGTCTTACCTTCTAATGTGTGATTCCTAACACGGGTTGGACGGGTTTTAACGAAGAAAACATTGTGCAAAACCTTGACATTTGATCGAAATTTGCGTGCTTTTTTTGGTCTTCGCTCTCCTGGGCATGATTCATCATCAGTTATGACCCTTTTAAGCAAATCTGGATCGCCGTTGATGTTATTTAACGATTCCTAAACGATTCTCATGCGGCGGTTTTTTTAATGGAAATTCAGCAATTTTGGAATGAACTTTGCTGCCAAACGCTTCATGCTCAAAATTTCTAAAAAAATTGCTTGGCATGAGCCAACCCACATGCCCATATCCTCAGCAACTTCTCTTATAGTGATTCGACGATTCTCCAGAACAATTTTCTTCACTTTCCCGACATTTTTACCGGTTGTTGATGTGCCGGAGCATCCAGGGCGAGCGTCGTCATTCACAACTTCTCGACCTTCTGTAAAAAACTTGTGACACTTGTAAACCTTTTTCTGACTCAGAGTACAATCACCGTATACCACTGTCAACATTTCAAGTTTTTTTTGAGCACTTAATTCCATTTTTTACATAAAATTTGATGCAAATTATTCGATCCATTTTTTTCAACGGCAGAAAATTGCTGAACACGCAAAACACTTCTTTTATACCTCTCACCAACAAACTAAATATGCCAAACAGCTGAAACATGTTCGAGACGAGTGTACCAACATAAAAAAATTAAGAAAATCGCTAATCGAATGTACGTTAGCCCGCGTCAACTTCTCTTATAGTGATTCGACGATTCTCCAGAACAATTTTCTTCACTTTCCCGACATTTTTACCGGTTGTTGATGTGCCGGGGCATCCAGGGCGAGCGTCGTCATTCACAACTTCTCGACCTTCTGTAAAAAACTTGTGATACTTGTAAACCTTTTTCTGACTCAGAGTACAATCACCGTATACCACTGTCAACATTTCAAGTTTTTTTTTGAGCACTTAATTCCATTTTTTACATAAAATTTGATGCAAATTATTCGATCCATTTTTTTCAACGGCAGAAATTTGAACATACACACCTCATTTTTTGAACAGCCTACAACTTTTAATGATACGGGTAGTTATTACCATACAATGCATTTCTGCATTGTAAATGCATTGTAGCATTTCTTTAATGTCCCCCACCCCCCTTTTATTTTTTGAACGGGCCAACTCAAAAAATTAAAATTTGGGATAATGAAATTAATGCATGAATACTTTATTTTGAAGTGAAATTGACAGATGAAACTTTCAAGATGGCGACTGGGAAAAAAATAAATGGAAAGGGCGGTCTTGTGACACATCATTTTGAAGCTCCTGATGAATACTTCACAACTCTAGAATATGAAGTCAATATCTTCACCTACTATAAAATGGCGGAACTTTCAATAATGTTCTGAAGACAAACACATTAATATCGATATTTCTAGAAATATTCCTTTTTATCTGCCATATGGCAATTCCAACAACCCGATAAGGTTTGTCAAGTTATTTCTTGATTATAAAAACAACAAAAAATGTCAGTACGACAATGAACATCATTCTTCAGTTAGAATATTCTCATTTAGTTTTCGGTTTTACTAGTAGAAAGGTACCACGTCAACAATCTCTAAAATGGTCAATTCTCGTCCATTGGGAAAAAAATTGAAGCGATTTTTATTTACGGTGCGACGCATAACTTTCACGAGACCGAAAGTATTTTCAATGAACGTGTTCCGAATCGTCCTACCTGTAAAAAATATTTGAGGGAACTTGTATCCAAATTCACAATTAGTTACCAAAAGTGTGCATAACAAAAAGCCCCCAGGTCATCCGTCCATTCCGGAAGAACAGCAAGTGCAAATAATTGGTGAGATGGTAGTAAATCCTGAACAGTCTATTTATTCCGCCGCGAATGTTTATGAGGTGTTTCTTTCTACTGTGTGGAAACTTTTGAAGAGGAATAGGTATCATCCATACAAAATTAAAATGGTACACCAATCAACTGAAGATGACTCTGATCGAAGAACAGAATTCTGCGAAATCATGACGGAAACCATTGCAAGGCATCCTACTTATCTCCACAATATTTGTTTTAGGTAAAATTAGCGTTTGGGCAGGAATATTGAGAAACCATATTGTAGGATCTCTCATTATTAATCAAAATTTAACAGGGGAACTGTATTTGAATATGCTGGAAACCGCTGTTGACCCTCTCATCACTGAAATCGTCGAAGGGAATCCTAATGAATTCATTATGGATATTGTATTCCAACAAGATGGAGCACCACCACATAACTCCAGACAAGTAAGAAACTATTTAGATACTACCTTTTCCGGTCGTTGGATTGGCCGTCGAGGTCCTACAGCATGGCCAGCCCGCTCGCCAGATTTGACACCTTTAGAATTTTTTATGGAGCTATTTGAAGCAAAATGTTTACGAAACTGAACCTGCTTCAATATTGGATATACGGCAGAGAATAATAAATATTTGTAGAGATATTGACGTTACTGTGTTCGAAAATG